GRAAAAAAGGTCGATATACAGACGATTAAAAAAAACGTCATATAAAAAATGAATGTTTATGATGATTTTGCCTACCTTTTTTAAAAAAAGAGATTAAAAATCTCGCTCTTTTAGTTATTGTTTTTGTTTTGTTTTTATAACATTCATCAGTTTCTTCGTCAATTTGTTTGCCTCATTTCGTTGTTATAATTCCTTGTTTGCATCGTTATATTTATTTTAATCAACAGAGGGCAGAACAAATCATCAGCGATCATAACGCGTCTGTTCCTCTCTTCCTCTACCTACCATTTCAAAATGTCCACGCCCCTAACGAGGCACCGGAATCATTTGTCAAACAATATGAATTTATTGAAGACAAAACCAGRCGTATTTATGCTGGTATGGTTACCGCTGTGGATGCAGCCATTGGTAAAGTAACAGATGCAATGAAAAAGAAAGGGTAAGTTTACAAAGGGAGGTATATAACCTGAAGTGGCTTTCTTCTTGCATACACGCCATATATACATAACTGTTACATCTCAACAGTTAGTTCATTGGTTTAGCTTGCGTGTTTCTAGGAATATTATCTGACTATCGATCATCTGTTAGCTGTTGTAGCTGATCATCCCTTGAATATTGGTACAGCTAGTAAGATTGTTTATTGTTGCTAATGTCGTAGCTTTCTTCTTCTTCTTCTTCTTCTTCTTCTTCTTCTTCTTCTTCTTCTTCTTCTTCTTCTTCTTCTTCTTCTTCTTCTTCTTCTTCTTCTTTTTCTTCTTCTTCTTCTTAATGAAAAATATGGTCTGAAATATCTGGCTATCATCTGGTCTGTTTCTTAGTTGCTTCACAACGCCTGGTAATATTTAAGGGACTTGCCATTATGCCCCAGGGATGCAGCTAGGGATTAGCAAAAATATTAATTGAAGCGAGGAGGCATACAATAATGCGAACGGCGTCTCAAGAGAGCATACAATAAACAAAAGTGCTGTCATAAAAGACGGTTCTTCCTTGGTTTTCATATTTTGTAATATGGGCCTTGTTGTGCATCTTATTAAATTAAATTTTAGATAGCTTAGACGTTTATGGCTTCATTTGTCGATAATTACTAATGATCGATTAGTCAATTCTACGTGCTAGATTGACTACAATATGTACTTATTTTTCACAGGATTTGGGATGACACGTTGATGGTCTTCACGACAGATAATGGAGGCTTGCCCATATATGGAGGATATAACTGGCCTTTACGCGGAATAAAGACGACACTCTGGGAGGGAGGAGTTCGTGGTGTAGGTTTTGTCCATGGATCAATGATTGAAAAGAAGGCTCGTAAATGTAATGAGCTCTTGCACGTGACTGATTGGTTTCCCACACTTTCTGCRATTGCAGGTTTGCTTCAAATCTCTCTATCGCATGCATGCAAGGTTTTATATAATTTGGTCTCATACTTGATTTTTTTATTTGCTTACTATTTAGTTAGTCGCTGTCTTTAATTTTTGATTTTTCCATGACTTGCTTCCTATTTAGGGTTCGAAGAGTTCGACCAAAACATCGATGGTTTCAATATCTGGGATACGATATCAAAAGGCGCTGCTTCCCCAAGAACAGAGATCCTGCACAATATCGACATCAATGATCCTCTTCCAGTACCGTCTTGTCAGGGAATTGCTCTACGATCAGGACACATGAAGTTGATTATGCAAGTACAGAACTTTACCTGGTTCAAGCCCCCTGAGCTTGGGAAAAGCTACAGAGTAGATAGTTATGATGACTCCCTTCAGGTAAAGAGGCGAATTTCTCAAAATATYACTGTACTTTTTGTTTCTGCGCTTAAATTGAGTCTTATGCTCACAAAATCACAATTAGGAAATACAAGGTGCATTAGGAGATGCCTGTCGAGAATACTTAGATTCATAAAATGCAAAYACATTTGATATACAGAAGATCCTTTAAGTGTCATAATTTTCGCACCTATTAAGGATCGCGTTGTATAAGATAATATGGTCTTTTCCCAACATGTTGGTTCTATACAGAACAAAATAATCGAGTCTTTGGATAAGTCGTAACATTTCCACGTATTCACAAATGGACGAAGAAAATTGCCGACATGCCTCTTCAGGAATTATCGTCGAAGGAATCGTGTGAACTTTTCATAAAATACCAAAAGAAAAATCGTTATGAAAACTGTGGGTGCAGTGCCTAAATAGCATTCGACAGAAATATAATCTAACTGAAAACATATGAGTTTGTAGTAAACACTTTGAACCCAAAATATGATTTTCAAAGCGTAACGTTATTGGCTACTGGTTGCACAGCAATTTTTCACCATCTATTGTGAAGACGAGAAAATAATGTTGCGCATGACCTAGACAAAGCCTTGCTTTGGTTCTGCAGAACAACATCTTGGGAAATGACCATTGAAATATGAAGTGGGCAATTTCATTTCAAAAAGATCTGTTTACTTCTAAGGCATCTACCATCAAAGAAGCATTGTTTAACATCACCGCTGACCCAGAAGAACGAAATGACTTGAGCGCCAAACTCCCGGATGTTGTAGCTAGGATGAAGGCCCGTGTTGATTTTTACGCGAAAGGTGTAGTCCCCAAGAGGAATCAGCCTACGGATCCAGAAGCAATAGCCACTGCTGAACGGAACGGCGCATGGACACCATGGCGTGATTCAACAGKCTACTGATGTTATAGYCTCACTAATCATTAAAGTGGTTTCAGAGGCTTCTCTGGAAATATTATAGCAATWTTAGCTCGACGGTAGTTCAATGTTTCAGGCATTATCAAAAACAAGATATAAAAATTATACACTCAATCGTGTTTCGTTTGTTTTCTCTGTTCTTCTAGCCTTCATTCAATTCTTGAGTTCACTAAAAGTAAGTTCTGAATATACTGCTCATATTTGAAGAGCTGAATTCCCTTTTTTTCCTTTTTCCCTTCTCTTCTTTTCTTTTCTTATTTTTTGTTTGTTTTTGTTTTGTTTTAAAGGCTCAATCGTTCATGAAGAACGCATCTTTACCTCCGCACTTAGGATGGCTATAGCAGAGTAGTTAACATATTAGTTCTTTTTATAGTCAAACGAGTTTGCTGGTTGCTAGCAACGTATAWTTTTCGAACTCTTCACATTTTTGCTACAGATGCTATATCAATATCACAGATATGTCAATGTCACAGATCTGAAATAAAGTCTGTAWTTTTAGCATTATTTRGCAATAAGTGGCGAATACAAAATGATTCTTAAATATAGTAGTTCGATGACTCAGAGGGAACAAAATCAAGGAATGATGAAAGAGCCTTGTTCATATGTCGTCGRAAAYATCTATTAAAAAGAMRATCAGGATCAAARWTGTAGAATGCAAAAATGAACGATGWTTGCTATCTGCAACGTCCACAATTATCGACAGGGGTYGTTAGGGGGTTTCCAGCTTCTCTAGCGATTTCAGGACTACACAAAGAAGGCGATGACTTCAATATTACACAAACTGTTAGTTCTATTGATTTATTTTTATTACAGATAAAGTTTCATATGTCAAAAACTTCGTCTGCCAAGGAAAGGATAGTCTCCTTCGCAGCCTCCCCTTTTGTCGGCACAGGAAGCCCGAAGGAGACTAAGGAACGGAGTGTTCCGAAGCTCTTTGAAGCAAACATAGGAAGAAATCTCTAGTGTCTATATGACCTAATGAATCAAATCTAATGAAAACCAAGCTTTTAAAACTCAAACTTGAAACTCAAAACTCAACTTAAAACTCAAACTTGAAATGAATATGTTTGTTATATGCTATACTTTTTCAGCCACGTAGTTCATTTTATGTTTGAGTTATTTATTTGCCTGAGCATGCTGTTACATAATTATAATGATAGTATTTATTGAAAAATATCTCTAAAATGTAAATTTACAATATTCGAATATTTCTACAATTTTTCTACAATATAATATTTTAAAAATCTCTATTATTAATAAAAAATATTCGGAAAAATATAAACAAGAAAAAAAGGCCCAAAATATAAGAAAATTTGCTTGGTGATACATTCATTTAACTATAGTTTATTTAATTCATTTATTTATTGTTCTATTATTATATTCATTGGTTGAAAGATCGTTAACTGACTTTTCTCCACCCCCTACCTTAATCATAAACTCACCCTCACCCCATGAGGTRCGTAATGCCGGATACACATGAAAAGAGAAGGTCACATCTGCAGACCCGTGATTGAATTTACATTTTGTTTATCCAGTATGAACAAGCRACAGTTTATCGCCATCGTCTTCCTAATAACAGCCTTTGCAAGCTGTCAATCCAAGCAACTGAAGCAACCACACATTCTTCTTGTTGTRGTTGATGATCTTGGTTGGAGTGATGTCGGATACCAAAACATTTCCCCAATCAAAACTCCAAACATCGATAAACTGGCATCGGAGGGAGTGATACTGGATAATTACTATGTCCAGCCTATATGTACACCTACTAGGAGCGCTTTGATGACCGGCAAATACCCTATACATACAGGTAAGATTCAGTCAATACTTTMTTTATATATATCTAACATTTATTACAATTTCGGATTCCATGCCTGGAGTGTTACATCTCTCGTGACGATTCTTGGAGTATATAGAGCATTATGTAACCTCGACGTAAACAATTGATAAAATAGATATAATTGTTATAAATTAATAAAACTGATATCAGTTTAATAATTAGAAACATATTGATATCAAAAATTGATAATAATTGATAGCCTGCAGCGTTCGAGTGAACGTTGTGAAATGAGATAAATTTTACATCGTTTATTGTAAGGGAAACTTATTGACGTTTTGGACGTTATTCCTTTATCAGATTAAAAGCTCGAGTGAGTCARATTGATAAAAATAGTTAACTAGCTAGTTGTTCGTGTTTGCTTAGAAATCTGAGAAATTACCTTATCTGACCTCAACGTAMGTTTCGCAACAATTGATAACTGACAAAATCTAAGTGAGTATCCGTTCTTTTCAATTTCTGATTTCAATTTTTTTACACTTAAATAAAGGAATATAATTCATTTATCAAACTTTATCAATAATATCAAATATAATGAAATTATAATCAAATTTTATCCATTAGTGACGTCGAGTATAATCACAGCTGTAAATTTGGTCAAACCGTCAYGAACTATAGTTCATCATCCCCAATGATATTGTCATAAATTCTGATATCTGAAATATGMCAGTGCATATAATAATATTTTTGGGAGGTAGGATTTAGCGTCCTTCAAAACAAAAGAAGGTGGGGGTAGCGAGTGAAGAAAGGATAGTCGGTAAATGTAAAAAAGAGAAAAAYACAAAACGATAAAAAAAGAAAATAAACAAATAAATAAATAATATTTAAGGAATGAGTTGATGGGATTTTAGATAAGTTGAAAAAAGGAACCATAGTAATTGGCATGTCAAACTGGAACCTTCRAATCAAGATAGTTGAATCATTCACTTTTTATATAGGCATGCAGCATGGCGTTATTATCCCACCACAACCATACGGCCTTCCCCTAGACCTCTCCCTTCTTCCGCAAAACCTGAAGAAAGCTGGTAAGTTAAGTACAAAGTTAAGGTACACTCAAAATCATCAWGTTGTAGTTTGAATAACCAATGTTCTAATACATACACTCTAAAGCAAATGTATACCATTTGACCGTGTTTGACGTTGCCTAGGATACGCTACTCACATGATTGGTAAATGGCATCTTGGTTTCTATGAATGGGAGTACACGCCCACCTACCGGGGATTTGACACCTTCTACGGGTATTATAATGGTGCTGAGGACTATTATACCCATGACGTRATGGGTTTTTTGGATTTRCGCGATCAAAAATCCATAGTTAAAGACATGAAGAATGTTTACTCYGCCAATATATTTACAAAGGTATTTCCCGTCTCTTGTGTAATTCTTACTATTAATTGTCGGTCGCCAAGTRCTTCGTTTTTGTATGCTTTTCATATGATGCTTTTATAATTCAAAATGATACGTGCTCAAACAGAGACACCGATAGAGAGTTTTACTCAACGGCATTACATGGTCACCTGATCTTMCATTTTGGATTATCGTRGCCAGATAGTAATWTATGTTTTCAATTTTTTTAAGCTTTCGCGGAAGAAGGGTCAATGCAAGAATAGCAAAACAAAAATAGACTAAAAGAAGATCATGAAAGAATRACGTTTACTTTTGAAAAATGTTTTCGTTGCCCTCTTGCCCTCTTAAGATGATCATTTCTTTTCTTTTAATTGTATCGGTGCTTCCATTTTTTTTTATCGGAACTTTATATGACATTTACCATGCATTATTATTTTCTTCTCTCAAGCATTCCGAGAAGATTAGGGAATCTGCACTTAAATTTAATTGTTTATTGTTCTTCTATATATTTAAGAAATATAAAACTGCGCGCGCCTCTGTCCTCTGATATAAACACGGTGGGAGTTCGAAAAACACGAGAGAAGCAAGCTTAGGAACACGAGCGTAGCGAGTTCGAAAAACACGAGAGAAGCAAGCTTAGGAACACGAGCGTAGCGAGTGTTTCTATTGCTTCTCGAGTGTTTTTCAACTCCCACCGTATTTATATCAGAGGACAGAGACACAAGCGACCGTTTCATATTTCTTTTATAAAATTTTTCGATCTAAAAAAAATTTTTCCGGTAAGCCGTGTCTCTGTCCTCTGATATAAACACGGTCGTCAGCCAATCAGAGCGCGCGTTATATATCAAATTTTATACATTTTTTTATAATATATTTGTTCTTTCTTTCTGTCCCTTTGTTTGATTCTTATTTTCGTTGTAATAATTCCTAGCATCATTTATTTCAATTAACAGAGGGCAGAACAAATCATCAGCGATCATAACGCGTCTTCTCCTCTCTTCCTCTATCTACCATTTCAAAATGTTCACTCTCCAAACGAGGCGCCGRAATCATTTGTCAAACAATATGAATTTATCAAAGACMWAACCAGRCGYAYTTATGCTGGTATGGTTACCGCTGTKGATGMAGCYATTGGTAACGTAACAGATGCAATGAAAAAGAAAGGGTAAGGAAGGGAAGTAACTTGAAGTTTGACTTGACTTTTATGTCATAGCCGCCATTAGTAGTWGTTACCTTTGAATTTTTAGCTTAATTTAGTTTGTTTGGTGGCGGAATATCTGTTTGATAGTTAATGTGGCCATAGTTTGTAGAGTGAAATGGTTAGGAAGGCTTTTTGTTGTAGGTTTTTGTGCACAATCTTTTGTTTAACTAACGCTGCAAGATTCCATTCCATTTCATTCCATTCCATTCCATTCTATTCCATTTCATTCCATAATAACCCTAGATAGCGTTTATGTTCACTAATTCTGCAATTTCCATCGTCCGTAAGGGACTGTGCAATAATTATCATAGGAGAGGGAGRGCCGTCAAACCAGATTTCTAAAGTAGAACATTAGTCAGAAACCTCCCTCGGAAGCACAAGAACTGAAATAGCTCTTAACCTCCCCCATCCCCCCCCCCGTACACCATCTGCTATACTAAAAATAACGTCGGAAACACAAACGCCCCACCTCCCACCCCCACCCCTCTATAGTAAATTGTCACCATTAAAATTACGACTGCCTAGCTTGTCTTGAACGCAAAATAATAGGGCGTATAGAGATAAGTTATCTCTATAAGTCCTATTATTTAGGTTGCAATCGTTGTTGCAATGATGGTTAGGCTTTGTAAGTCKATGCTCGCCCATAATGCCATAGACAAAATGACTCCGGACTCCGGAGTAAAAGTACCGGGGATGCTCGTCGGATCTCTTWCGGGTAAAAATTCGTGGTTGTGAATATTTTAGGGTGCCATTTGGKGTTTCTGGAATTAAAATTTGCATATTTGATATTGATTTTTATCGCGTTTTGTTTTSAAATTAAATATTTTATACTGCATGTTATCATTGGAACTGATGTAACAATATTTGCTGTGCAAATTGTCTTTAAAAAAAACAGTCAGCCATGCCCTTTTTTCAAGACTTCCAGGAACTTTTAGTGGTATTTTTGARATGTTCCGACGAGCATCACCGATACTTTTACCCCGGAGTCCCCCCGGGTCGTTATGATCTATATATGGTCTAGATTGAATGTAATATGTACTTATTTTTCACAGGATTTGGGATRACACGTTGATGGTCTTCACGACAGACAATGGTGGCATACCTATGTATGGAGGATATAACTGGCCTTTACGCGGAATGAARRYGACACTCTGGGAGGGAGGAGTTCGTGGTGTRGGTTTTGTCCATGGATCAATGATTGAAAAGAAGGCTCGTAAATGTAAWGAGCTSTTGCACGTGACTGAYTGGTTTCCCACTCTTTCAGCGATTGCAGGTTTGCTTGAGATTGGTTMTTGAGCTTGTTTGTAGGTTACGTTTGTCCCAATCTTTGTTATCAGTTTTTCCACGTTTTGTTTTATTTTAAATTTGTTTTATTTTTCTTTATTTTTGAGTCTGGTTAAAACTCGTTACACCTGTCGAAATTATTATAACCGGAAATAATAGCCTTGCAAATTCGTCATTCGGAACAGTGTTTTATCGTACCATCTATAGCCTTTTGTGCGTAAGTTCAGGAATTGTGATCGTTCAGTGATGGCATTCTGTAATGGCCTCTTGCTCGTGTTTGCGTTCTAAATCCCAAGAGCGTGTCGGACATTGCGCTGTGCAACGTGGTCAGCTGCATCCTTTTTTAAATCTTACTTCAAACAAAAGTGATTATGATCATATAGTGAAAGCAAAAAGGTTATAAAATCTGGACAGTTTTAAAAAATTCTGGATGGATCAGTCACTAAATCCCTTCAAACCAGACTACGTTTCAGAAATTGCTAGCTATTGTTTCAATCTCCGACGCAATTAATACCTTAAAAGGTAAGGCGATTGTTTTCAAGAATGCATTAACTGATCAGTTGATTGGTGACATTTATAAGTATTCATTCCTTTTGTTGCTGTCTTTAATTTTTGATTTGGTCATGACTTGTGTTGCTTTCTACGTAGGAATCGATGACTTTGACCAAGACATCGATGGGTTCAATATCTGGGATACGATATCAAAAGGGTCCGCCTCCCCAAGAACAGAGATCCTGCACAATATCGACGTCAATGATCCTGGTTTATTACCTTCCAGCCAGGGCATTGCTCTTCGATCAGGACACATGAAATTGATTATGCAAGTATTGAACTTTCCATGGTTTAAGCCCCCTGAGCTTGGGAAAAGCGACAGAGCACATGGTGATAAATTTCCTGAGGTAATAAGACGATTTTCAGAAGCACCACTGTATTCTTGGGTATCCTTCTGTGTATAATATTRGGCATGGGCGAGTGTAGGGAATGGTCCCTGATTTTTTGGAATACCCCGCCCCCCTTCCCTGGAAGACGAAGTTTTTGAAATACAAATACATTTTCCAATAGTAAAATTTTGTGGTCAGTCGTCTTCTTTGCGGCATTAAAACCTTAAAACAAACCTAGCCTGGAACCACACTCATGGAACCCCTACACACGCCAGGGGGAGGGGGGTTGGGGGCCGGGGGAAAGCACAGTACCACAGCCAGTGACGGAAATAACAGAGGTCCGTTAGTAGTTAAATGAGGAGAATGATAAAATATCCGCTATATAAAAGCTCCTTTAGAGTGCACGTCACATAAGCATGAAACAATTCTTAACTAATTAGCGCCTAATAAGATTTAGTTATCAACTAACTAAGAATTTAGTGAGGCATATACAAAGACAAGTTTCCTTTCTGGCATTGTGTGAATGCCCCAGTGAATTCTTAGTTAGTTGATAACTAAATTTTATTAGATGTTGATAGTTAAGAATTGTTTCATGCTTTTTTGGCGTGCACTCTAGTATCTGTATTATAACTGGCACATGAAGGTGTCAATTTCATAAAACATATCTATATTTACCCCTCGTAGAAATTCAGGATCAAAGAGGCATTGTTCAACATTACCGCTGACCCAGAAGAACGAAATGATTTAAGTTCTAAGCTCCCGAATGTTCTAGCTAGGATGAAGGCTCGCGTGGATTTTTACAAGCAAGGTGTGGTCCCCAAGAGGAATCAGCCCCTTGATCCAGAAGCTACAGCCACTGCTAAAAGAAACGGCGCATGGACACCGTGGCGTGGATCAACAGTCTACTGATGTTTTAGCCTCAAAAGTCTTGTAGGTGGTATCAGAGGCTTCTCTCTTTAGAATATTTTTCGGCTGAATGTTTGTATACCGGAGTCGTCATATTGGCGTATTCATGTCTTTAGTTTGAGAAAAGTGGCCATTCCGAAATTCAAAAAGGGACTGTCGATGTAGTTTGAATTCCATGAGAAGATATAGCATACTAAATTTAGTATAGCTGCTGAGTTTTAGGGTAATTGGTGGAATAATTACAGAGTGATTAGTGTTTAAACTTTGAAAAGATAGCAAAGAATGCCATTGAACAGCGTTGTCAAAATCATACATTCTCTCTAATTGTTGTAATTTTCAAAAACAATTGCCACTCGGGTAATTATTCAAAGTACGAAAATGCCTCAAAGTTGAAAATAACACTAATTGTAGTTTGGTCTTTCAAGTGGTGGTGGTCAGCTTTACAGTCTCCTTTTCAATTTCAGAAAAAGGCAAGTTTAGTTCGATATTAGTCAACAGTTTGAACCAAACAATAAAAAGACCGATGATACGTACAATGAAAAAGTCACTCTTTATTTATTTGATATTTCGTTATGTCGGATTACAAAAGATTTTCTAAATGTCATTTTGTGTAAGAGTTTAAACTCAAAGTGCCAATCTTTTACGCAACAAAACACCAGGAGTTTTAGGAAAACTAGTTTCGTTTTATATACGTTTTTAAATAAAACGAAACTAGTTTTCCCAAAAATCGACCTGGTGATTTGTTGCGTAAAAGATTGGTACTTGGAGTTTAAACTCTTACACAAAATGACAGTCTTTATTTTTTCTCTTCTTTCCTTTGTTCTCTCACTCATTCATTCTTGTTCCTCTGCTCTAACTTTTATACCCTCTAAGGTTGATTTCCCTAAGAATAACGTTTGCGTTGTATTGTTCGTCCGCGCTTTTGTTACCAAAGAAGAGCTGAATTATATCATTAGTGTCTGTATCATCATGGTGTGGCAAGTCTGCTGCATTGGCCCCGAACCGCATCTGAAAAGAAAGAAGATTACATACCGCTGAAGGCTATCATTTTGTTTAAGACAATCTAGTGAATGCTGCACGAGGCATCAATATTCTCTAGAATGTTTGAGATGTGCTTTGCGCTCAGCCGTGGCAGAGCTCACGCTATTGTGTCCAGGGTAGATCGAGGTATGAGAGCGTTAAGCCCGTATAATTTAAGATCATACTAGTCATGATCAAGGATATAGACTTCTCATAGTCAAATGCTTCTATGTAACGGTGATTGTTACGAGGGTAGATTTTCTTTATAGGTCACCATAGGGGTGCAGTTATCCGGAGATGCATGTGTACATACTACAACAACGGACAAAAGGGAGACACATAGGATCTCAAAAACAGCGAAGGGTTCAAGGTCCCACAAGTGGTGCACACATCATGCATCTATATGGATCTGTCCCTCGACTACATTCAAAGGAWCCAAATGCCAACAAGTGCTAGTTCTCTAGATTTGAAAAATTATTTTAGAAAAACTTCTATATAACGCGCGCATTGATTAGTTGAAACATGCAAACGTGTTTTATTTAAAAAAATTAGTGGTTGAACAGACTTGGAGGGTATTATTCTGTGATAATAGCCCGCAGAAACTGGATRTTCGGAAAAACAAACAGTAACCCAAGAACTAAGAAGCTTTTAGGAACACCAAGCCTCCGAAAGCAACTATCACAKCAAAATGACCGAGATTTCAACTGCTTTTTAAAAAATCGCGTCACGTGGTCAACTGTCCCCCAATGAGAGCGGAGGAAAATTGAATTATTAAAGAGCATAGAAACACGGCTTTCTAGCAAAGAGCTTTTGTTWATCTTTTTAAAAGCTTTRAAAGAATTGTTCAGTAATTTCATTCTCTGTTAGAAACACTTAGTGTAATTGCTCCACTCCATGAAAAGGTTTTGAATCATCCATCACAGACGTGGGGGACAGGGAGCCGTCGCCAAAAAACGGCTGCGAGGAGGCTAAAATGTTTCTAACATACAATGGGAACAAAAAATMTTCTATAATATTTAATTTGAGTACTGTTAACTTAACCTACCGATGATATCGTACGATCGCAACAGTTAATCATTTCAAGCAGGAAACAGCCCGCTGACCAAACATCTTTTTTGATCAACTGCAATCTTTCATTGTCGAAGATTGGAGAAGCGTTTCCAAAATCGGCAAGTTTTGCTTGAAGCTTATATCTGTCTAGTAAAACATTGGCTGCTGAAAAATAAGACCAAGAGAAATAARCGCGGTATTTTCGTTCATATCAGGTTTATGCTAGTAAAAGGCAGAATATCATTTAAGGTGGCTTCCTATACCTCTCCTTTTAAATTTGCTTTTTGAAAATCTTGCCCTGCACGTACCGATTTAATTGTTTTTTGGATCAGTATTAAAGCATTGACCAAAGTTTTGTTTGGCATAATATTTAGCTCCATCAACGTTACCTAGGCAACGGAAATCGCATTTTGTCGAAATTCGTTTTTGCCAAATATCTCAAAAAATCGATGCGATCCAGAAAAGCGGTAGAGATATCATCACTATTAACTTCAAACTATTGCATAGCGTTTTGGAAWAGTTGAAAACAAATTTATCTGTTCGATTTCGAGTAATATTGCCAAAGGACAAAGCCTGCCTATACTAATTATTTATGCAATTTACCAATAATCATTGAGCTTATTAGAATTGTATATATACTACCAACTTGGACTGACTTCTATAAACATTGGTCTTGGATCCCCGTTGGTAACTAGTGAGCAAAGGATGATAGGCGCGCTTGTATGCAATTCCAACAAAACGTACTAGATCAYAAGATAGATTCAAAGCTTACATTTGACGTCATTATGAACTATTCCCTTGCTATGAAGAAAATTAAGAGCTGACAAAACATCTGCAAGATACTGCATGTACAAGTCCTTGTGAAGCCYACACTGATCCTTAAGGAAATCCTGAACTGTTTCACCTRCGAAGTAAATGAATATGAATATATACAGATTTTTTTCGTCACATTTACTTTTAATTTAGTTTCGTTGTTTTAATGCATGCATCACAGCTTCTCTTCTTTCTTCCGTCGCTCATTAGTTTTTAACACCCATTCCTTTCTTATTTATTCGTTTTCCTCTCAATATTATTTATCATTTGAGTTTCACCTTCCATGAATTCCATGAAGATACGAATTTCATCCCTCCAATATGTGGCACCGTAGAAAAGCACAATATTGTTACTACCGGGAATCGATTGCGCTTCCTTCTGATCCTTGGCAGAAAGATACAGCGACAAAACCTCTTCTCTGTTATATTTGATCTAATTTTGATTCCGGAATGAAAAAAATTATAAAACTCATTATAATTTTTATTAGTGAATCAGGTTGAAGACCGAATAAAACGACTTTTTAAAATTTAAAAATTTTGCGCGGCGATAACGAACAATCTCATGAGGCATGCAACCTAGCTTCCCATGTCTTTAAAACATGGCTGAGGTAGAGATTCAGCAGGCCCTAAGAAAAGATGCATGTATAGCCATGTTGAGTACGGRTGACTTCTGAAGCAGACAAAGATAGACAGCATGCAGCTCTGTTTTTTTGTTTTGTTTTGTTATTTTTGCTTGACTTGTGGGATATGTATATATGATTATTCAAAATAAGTTCCCATTATTTGCTGTTGCGAATGTTCATTACTATTCACTGAACTTAGAAGCTAACTAAGGGACTGTTCGTTTATCATGTCTCAGGGAGGGGCGGTGTACAATTTAATTAAAATTTCTCTTTCAAAGGAGGTATATTTTCAAAGTATGTATATTTTTGTTAACTTTTATTTTTTCCCTTTCTTTTTGGGGGGGGGGGGGGGGGGGGGGGGGAACAATTTTATAATGAGTAAGGTTATGGCCATGCCCCCCCAGTAATGTAATATACGATTAGTCCCTTATTGTTGTCGTTTTCGTTATTAATCGGAACTGTATAACTCATCATGTTTTTTCGTGTACGAATAAAAGTTATAACCTACCACCTTTTTGACGCATAAGGTGCCCGAATTGTTTTGATTGTCTGCTAAGATTGATGCTCTATAACACGATCCACCAGCACCTTGCCCAATCGGAGCAACTGTCACCCATTGTTTGTTTTCGTCAAAACGGAGGTTTCCTCCAAGGGGTAGAATTTCAATAGGCCAGCAATAGCCATTTCCATCAGACTGTGTCGATATGGACATCAAAACAAAATCCCAAATTAGTAAGTTAGTCAGTTATTCTACCGTTCTTAAGTTAAAATACAGCTCAATCAACCAGTCCTTACAGCAGAATGATCGCTGCATTCGTTGCAGCGACTCCAAAAAGTTTGTATTTTGATGGGTTGTTTTATTATGTTTATTCTGCTGTTGTTGTTGTTGTAAATAATAAACGAGCCAGTCTAACAATTAATGTCGACATACATAAAAAAGCCCAAGAAACTAACAAAAATTCACCTAGATCGATGTTCCTACTGTAATTATAAATTCAGTGATCATTCAACGCCCTGATTCATCAACACATCAACCATTTTAGCCATATACTTAAGGTGTTTCGATCGTAATAAATAGCGTTTCAACTACGTCGCAAATTTCGATTTAATTGCACTCAAACTTTCACTGAAGTCAAACTGATTATCGATAATTCTTTTTGATAAATTAATTTGCCAAAAAGCGAAGCCATTTGGATAAACGATGCAAAATAAAAACACCTTCATTTTTCTTTAAAATTAATTTTCTTGAAACTCATCGCAGAAATTGTAATAAAATGTTTAGAATCATTTCTTAATACCATAATTGATATACTGACGAAGTTTCACTAAAATCTTAACCTAAAATTTCGATTTGTTCGAATGTACATCATTTTGCTCAAACAACTCGAAATTTTAGGTTAAGATTTTATTAAAACTTCGTCAGTGTTATTAAAAAATGATTCTGAAAATTTTATTACAATCTCTGCGATGAGTTTCGAGAAAATTAACTATGAAGAAAAATGAAGGCGTTTTTATTTTGCATCGTTTATCCAAATGGCTTCGTTTTTTGGCAAATTAATTTATCAACAAGAGTTATCGATAATCACTGTTACTTCTGTGAAAATTTGAGTGCAATGTAATCGAAATTTGCGACGTAGTTGGAGTTTAAAAATACGCGCGAAGCGCTATTTATCACGGTCGAAACACCTTAACTCATGACGAAACAATTCCCAAGGTAATATCAAAATCATAGTACAAATGATAAATACTATAAAATACGACAATTACTTTGTACATTGGTATTAAAATCTGGGTATCACCATAGCCATYCGTCCGAGGATCAGGAATAGGCTGAGTGCTATCAACGCTAGCCGAACTATACACGTAACTTTTGCTAAAGGATTTAGAAGACGCTGACGAACAGCCAGTGGAATGCGGTGGAGAGCGTCCGGTCTGTCCAGCGTCCGTCGAATCGCAAAGACTACTGCAAGGAGATGTTKTTGGAGGCGAGGGAAATCTCATAAAATCATTAATGCAGCAGTCACTTATACTGTCTCTCTGAGGTACGGCAGAATACTCTTGAGACAATCCGGTCTGTCCGGCGTCCTCTAATTTCTCTAAATGAGCTGATGGAAGTCTGTGGCATAAATTTTTCGCAGTGAGTGACTGATGGAACAGATTTCGTACTAATAAGCTTTGAAGTTTTTCAAAGTGCCATTCTTACCTGTATGTACAAGCTTCATTTTCTTCTCCAAGATCAAGAAGCAAAGCTTGTACGCGCTTTTCAGTTTGTAGAACTTCGGAAGGAATGAGGTCCGTTGTAGCAGAATCTGTAGTTGCTTGAACTWCTATTGAACGTTCAGAGAGAGGTCTAATCCAAGAAGTGGTATCTTCTGTCGAATCAAACGGAACATTTTGAAGTCCGAAGKTTTCATTATTGTTTGGAATTGCTGCACCCCTTGCGATTAAATCCATATCTTTAGTAGGAAAAGGGATTTTCGACAAATCATTTTCTGTCTGTTTTTGGTTAGCGCCATTTCTGCCATCGAGTGGTCCAGARTAGGACTTTYCAGAGTCGTCGCCGTTTTKGGGAACTGAAACTTCATTTTTATCGTCAGTTTTGACACATAGAYCTTCAAGTTTTCTTTCGTCCATTAAAATAATAAATTAGTTTTCAAACAAAACTGAAATATATTGATTTTAGCATTAGCTAAATATATCCGCACACACATTTTCCGGGAATTAAGTCAAGTTCAGGAACAATTGGAATTTMSGATTGGCGCAAGGAATGATGGATGACTGGATGGATAACTGACTTAGACTACAAGACAAAATGTTGTAGGAAGTCAGGAAGAAAAACTAATAAAAGAAAAACAAAAACACCAAAAAAAAAATAGTAAAAAGTAAAAGAAAGAATGCGCAAATTCAAAGACACAAAAGTGATGTAAAAAATGGTTGGTGCATTCATTAATTTTTGCCCATATTAGAGCGGATTTCGTATGACTGTGCAAAAGCATGAATCACAACACGGACACGGCACGGTCACGGAACCTCGCCTTCTAGGATTTCAAATGAAAGTGAAGGTTTTCCAATGCATCACGGCTACGGCACGGCACGAACGTACCGTGTTTTTTTGCACAGTCATAGGAAATCTGCTCTAACTTAGCAAGTACAGCGACTTGGATTTTTTTTGTAATTGATTTTTCAGGGGTGTATAGTGATAATTTTTTTTTTTTGGGGGGGGGGGGAAGTGAGAGGGAAGGGGGAGGGCATGTCACGTGTTAAAGATAACAAGGGATATACACAGTATGCTTAATGAGGTAATTGATGGTAAACGGTAGAAGAAAAGGAAAGTAGAAGGATTCACAGCTTTTCTTACCTTTTCTTAGATGCAATTACTCATGAGTGTTATGGTCATTATTTGTCCCATTTCAGCCCCCTTGGGGATGATATTACAGTAACACACATCATTCTACTCCCAAGGGAGTATATCAGTAAACATGACTCTATTCCACTCTGCCTGGCATAATGCAATACTGTAGACCGTTTTACTTCAGTTATCTTCATTGATATGTATTAATACCTAAAGGATTTATAGACTGATTATAGACTCATGTTTTCATGAAGGGTTTATTTAACAAATAAATAAGGCTCAGCCATGGTTTATACTTTGAGTGTGTTTCAAATGCCAAGCGTGTGTTTATCAGAGTATAAACCACTGGCTGAGACTTATTTATTTGTTTATTATATAGATTTTGAGCAAAACTTCAGCAAAAATCCATTTTGTTGCCATTTTCAAAAATCGCTCGCACACAATCGTGGTTTATACTATCATAAACCACACTTTTTTGGCCAATCAGAGCGCGTGAAGTCATCTAAAGATATAATAATAATATTTGACTATGTCCATTAGTAAAGTGCTTGCACTTAAAGTGTGAAACAAATTGTACTAATTACAACTAAATAGTGTTGATTATACAATAGGAAACAAAGGAATTTGTATAATTTATCACCTATTTTGTAGTATTTATATTTCATGCATTTAGTGCGAGCAATCTAACTTTGTCAAGAGAAAAAAAAAACAATAATCATAGACTAATTATATTATTGGTTAATAACATAATAAAGTGCTATATACATAGTAAGGCAATTGTTCTATAAAACTTTTATTTTGCAAATATAAGTATTTTAAATATAAAATATATTGAGCCATTAAAACAGTTAAGATGGATCTATTACCAGTGACCTCTAATCAAAAACTGGATTTTCAATATTTTTTCTCCATATTTTGTTAAATAATCTGACCACTTAGAACTACATGTGCAAACATGTTCATAGTTATCCTCATTTACAAAAGCAATTACTCTTGAATATAAAACCATTAGTTTGCACACTGTATCTTTAAGAAGCACCTGTCTGGTATATTGTACACTTTACATTGAGGGTTACAGCAATTGTTATAAATCTCGCAGAGACTGCATGTCTTTTATCACAGTCCCTCGAGGATCAAGACTTAGGCAGCTTAACAGTACTTCTTCTTAGAAAGTAATGGTTTCTATTTATGTATAACAGTCAGCTGCAGTGTAAACTCATCTTGTGTTCAATTCTGTCACAGTCTCTGATACAGTATAACCACCTGATGAAGCATTAGGAGCGGAGTGGGTGAGCAAGCTAGGTCTCTCTAGAGCTAATTGCGTTCTTAATGTCCTTGATCCAATGCCTGGTTTAGAGCTGTAAGTCTCATCTAAGTCATTCCATGCAAGCAGTGGTGGTGCGCGATGCTGGGAAGGTGGTGCAGAAGCAGCTCTGAAGTGTCTACGGTGAATATTGAGGTTTGTTCGAATATGAATTGGCTCAGCTTCATTCCAGCCTGTTGAAGTGGATGATGATCGTTCAAAGTGATCACGATATGTTGTCTTCATAGAATCGTTTTCATTTCCCCTCCATGTTATTAGATCTCTTGTGTTTTTGCTGTGCTGGGATGCTATTCCAATATTTGAATGTACATATTTTCTTTTTCCAAGACCCTAGAGCAGAATACAATACAAAATGTGAAAATCAAGTTTGTTAGCTATTCTTTCTACAGTTAACCTTCAGAACCATTAGATGAAATATATGATCATGAAGTTAATAACAACACCACACTCATGTAAATTCTTGTGCGCTGATTGGCTGATTGGAGTGTGTGATGATGTAAGACATTCACACTATATTCTGACACCATCACACCTTATGTTCAGTTAAAAGAAGACAAAAGATTTTTGCTAATTTTTAGAGGAAAAAAATGTAGTAAAAATACAGTGTGCTCATGGGCCCACTTGAGTTTTGAACATTTTATGGACAACAATATTATGCTACTAGTAGGAAAACCTACAACTCATAACCATGTGCAATTTGTTAAATATTAAACACCCCCCCCCCCCCCCCCCTCCCCCATCCAATAACTGTTTAACAATTCATATATTAAAATATACAAGATAAATGATTGAACAGAGTTGTTAGAGCAGTAAATTGGTCTCTTTCTTGTTTTTTCACTTACCATGTGGAAAAAAGCTTCAAGATCTCCTTCATTGCTGTGTGCATTTCGGTTATCATGCCTTGAAAACAGATGTCTGTTTGTCCTTTCCTGCAAACATTTTACAAGTATGGTTTGCAAATTATTTACTTAATTGTATTTCCATGACTTATGAGTACAATCTTTAATAAACTTCCATATTTCTATGCATAATTTAATCTAATGGTATACGGAAGATCTGAATATTTTTATAATCAATCACTTACACTTCATGATGAAGTTCAATCAATTTGGTCTTTTGGTAAGTTAAGATTGAAGTTAAATTAACTTAGTGAAGTGATTCAAATTTACACAAAAACCTTTGTCGGCAGCACTGCATGAATTATAAAATGTATTAGAGTATAAAGTCAAGTTTGTAAGCTTATAACATACTACAGTATTAAGTTAATTAACTTATTAAAAACGTTTGACTTGATTTTACAACTCACCCTCGAATAGTTGAGAAATTTTTGAGGTGGCGAAGGTTTAGCTCTTTGCCGATATGGAACAGTAAAATCTGAACGAGTTTTACTTCTAAAATGACCATGGTAACCTGTGGGAAACTGTACAAAATAGTAAACAAAGCGATATGAGTTAAACAAGTGTAAAATCTGCATGCCATTGACAAGAACACGACACTGGCAAAAGTGTACATAAAAATCTTGAAATCCCAAACTTTTTAGGCATTTTCGGCTTACCCAAGTCCCAGATATCTCCTTTTGGGATACAGACATTCTAATTTAGTGTTGCATAGTGGTACACGACGGGAATTAGCAGCTAGAAATCAGTTCAGAAACAGCTTGCTCATATAACGTGGTGTTTTGATGTCGTTTCCACGGAGCTTGGGGGCGAAACCGATAACCGAAAACTGACCAATCAGAAGACGGCGTTCATAAATCGGTATATATTTTATCATTTGACGACCATGCATTGGACAGACTCTGATCGTTTGATTGTCTTATTGAACAAAAACAATGCACATTCAATCAAATAAATGACTTCCTAACTTCTTTTGTAGGTCTTAAAACAGTGTCGATATTGATTTGTAAGAATAGTTTGATAATTCTCTTTGTTTGTAGGTTCATAAATTAAGAAAAAAGATACTATATAAAGCATGAGCAATTGAATAATTCATGAAAAGAAAAGTAAATAAATAAAATAAAATAGATCAATTAATTGGTAAATAGGTAAATGAAATAGATCAATTAATTATTATTTCAATTTTATTGTGAATTGCAGATATAACAGCCAGGCCCAATAACAACCAATTTGTGGTAAAAAAGGCGGGAAGATTTCGCGCGCTTTTTCGAATTGGCACCGGCCGCGTTCAAAGTTCATACGTCATCGTCATCTGCATCTCTTTTCGCTTGATGAGACCGATCAAAGTAGTTTTTCTTGCATAAACATCACGAAAACGTTGTTACTATCTCGCATTTTAGGCAATATCTATCAGCTGAATAAGAAAGAAATATAGATCGAGTGATTTTCGACGGTTTGTTGCGGGAAAGTCAGTCTCTCTTTCTGGAAACAATGTTTTCGTCAATCCAAAATGTCGTTTCATCTCGTGACCTTTTTAACTCAAATCCATGGTAAGAAATTACTTGACTTTACAACACTTTTATGAAAAATATGTCATTGCTTGAAATTATACTGTCCGGAGATCATAGTTGCTAGCTTTTTTCTGTCTTCGACAGCCGAGATTTTTGGGACAGTCAGCAGTTTAGCCAAGCTGCTAGTGGATCTCAAGGTTCTCAAGCAAGTTCTTTGGAGTTGCTCTCACAGTCGAAAAACTCACAAAATCAGAAGCGCGATTCAAGCATGAACGATGGATGGCACAATACGGCAAGATCACAGAAGGGAAACGAAGTAAAACGTTTTGTTTTTCCTCTTTATTGCTGTTTCTTTTTAATCATTTTCGCTAGTTGTTGTCATTATTGTTGTTGGTTTTGCTTCTCCGAAAAAGCCCGCAGAAGATAAGGTCAAGGGAAATGGAGTCATAGATTTGCGTCCAACGCCCGCATGGTCCGAGAGATGGCGCATAAAATTTTCATTATTTGTAAAAAAAATCATTATTCATAAATAAAATCTTTAGAAAATCTGCTTGGATAGTTATATAGTTATTTAGCCAATATCTTGAATTTAAATCATAGAGCTCCAGAATTAATATCTGTAGCTTACTCACTCACTATCATATCGCTTTATAGTTATAACATTTAATTGTAAGAAAGTATCTAAGATCAATTAAAGACGTATATAAAATAATGAATCATGAGAAAAACAGCCGCATCTATTTTCAAAAATTTCCGGACGCAAATCTATGACTACACTTCCCATGACCTAAGCTTAACTAAATAGAAATAACTTATATGTTACACCGTTTTATTTGGCAGAACGAGCCTGTGAAATATTATATGAAGTATCTGTCCAAACCACTTCTATTTTCTGAACAACGTAAGACCAGCGATCAAGAAATAGGGCACATTGAAAGTTACAAAGATTATATTGAAACACAAAAGACTAAAGCGATTGAGCGTGATCAGAGGTATTTAGTTCATTTATTATTAATATATCATGGAATCAGAATTCAATACTTTTTGCCATTTAGCATACACAATATTTATTTAAAAAATAATTGCGATGAAAATGATGATGATGATGATGATGATGATAATGAATCTTGGATTTTATGATTTTGTGACTTGGTTTATGATTTGGCTCATGGTTTTAGAGAACTTCTTGATAATTTCATTGGACTGCTGAAGGACTATACTAAAGAGGTGAGGCATTGTCAATTATAAAATCATTAAAGTATATCAGCCAACTTCGCCCTGTCAAGTTTGGAGTCATTGTATTATACTTTTATGAGTGCTGTAAGTGCATCTCTCCGATTGGTTAGCAGAGTGTCATTTTTCCTTATACTGAACCAGGTACAAAAGGCCATGGAGACATTTAAAGAAAACTTAGATGGATCTACAACAGAGAATACGAAAAATGCTAATAACATCAAGTCTGCAGCAGAAAAGTCTTTTACATTGGTAGATGAATGTGAGTCTACTTTTTATCCAATCAATCAATTAGTTAGTCAGTCATTCAATAAACATCAACCATTGCATCAATCAATCATTGCGCGAATCAGTCAATCAACCATCAATATCTGTCAGTCAGTCGATCAATCGGTCCTCCGTCAATCAATCCGGCTCAGATAAGCGATAATTGTTGAGTCCTTTGTTGTTGCTGATTGTTGCAGTAAAGGAAGACTTTAAGAGCAGCTTCAACAAGCTGAGAGTTGATCTTAAAGAGAATGAAGAATTGAAAACATTATTATCAAAGGTAAGTTCTTATTTAGAAATAACATGCATGGGCGTGGTCATGTGCAATTCTCCACTCCTTTGTTGCCAGCTCCAAACGTGGAATTCTTAACGCGTTTTAACTCATGTACTTATTTGGACACAGAAAGAGCTAAAGGTGATGGAACTTGACATTGAATTGCGTCTACATAAGAAAGAAATAGAAGATTTAAAAAGAAAAGAGCAAGACGCTTTGAAGAGGGAAGAGGACTTCAAACGAAAAGAAAAATGTTTACTTGAAAAGGTCAAAGAAATGGAAATGCAGGCAACAGATTTACGAGACACTCCTCCACATTCACAAGAAGGCATGATAAGAACTCGGCAAGTTGCTTATCATCCGACTAAAGTTCATCAAATAAACCAAGTTGCATATCATCCTTTGGAACATTTGCCCTCTAATTTGACCGATGTTTATTCCGAGGAGCGTTATGGCTCTGTACCACCTCGCATCGGTTACTCAAGACAAAGCGTTGCCATGCAAAGATTCCCTCTAGAGTGTAACGGTCACTCGCAAGGTTATCCTAGAGAAGCAGTGTCTGATGGGCAAGTCCTTGTTCCTCCTACAAGGGAGTACGGCAGCCGGCTGCACCATCTTGAGATGCATCCCGTGCAGTCCAGTAATTGTCCAACAGCATCTATTACTCCAGTACAAAAATCTAAGAACATAACGCAGGTTAATGGATGGAACCCTGCATCTCCCTCTACACTACCACGTTCCTCTGGTTAGTATATCATAGCCCAAAATATATTGTTTAAAACATTTGTAAAACACGCTTTGACTGATCTCGAGATTTTATTTGTTGAATTTTAACAGATAATGATAATGTGAACAACGCTGCTAAGTCAAAAACAGCAGAGCCTTTACCTTCACCTGCTAACAGAATATCACTTCTTGATAAAACCAAGCTGCCAAAAAAGTCTCCGGTTGCAACAGTTCTTCCGCAAGTCCAAGCAAAACCGAAAAACGCTCTTGATGCTGAGAGTAAGTTAATTTAAGAAATTATTATCGTTGATAAAGTGCAAAATATTAAAACATGAAAATCTCTGGTACTAAATTCATGCGAATTCCTCTATTTTCAATGTTGAAATTTTTGTAGCGCTAGCTCTATAGCTCCAACATACAACACTAGTTCACGTTTTATTCATTAGAATTGGGGGTAAATCAAAATGCTTTTTATTTCTTTTCTTAGTTAAAGATCGCCCACACGACCCATCACGCATATTCAATTTTGACCTGACAACTTCTCCACAACATGCTCAGCCATGCAACGACCATAACAAGATGGAAAGTTCAGTAAAGACGGAAGAAAAACCACAAAGCCAAGCCAAAAAAACAGATGAACGAAAAACGAAGAAAAAAGGAAGATCAAATAAATTTTCAAAAGAACCAGCACGTAACTATAGTACAAGAGCACGGACTAGATCAGGAGTGACTTCAGAAGACTACAACAACTGGAGTGATGATAGAAGTTTAGACAAATACTCAACAGCTTCTGTAAACCCTCACAAGCCTAAAACCACGATTCCAATGGGTCTCAAACGGAAGGTCTTTAGTGGAGTTTCACAGAAGAGCAAAAAAATCCGAAGTGAGGACATTGTTTGTGGCTCCAAAGAAACTTGTGATGTTTTAGCAAATAGAAAGCGGTCTGGCTGTTTGGCAAATACATCAGAATCAATTGAGGTAGCTTGAGATTTTACTATTTGACAAAGACGATGTAAATAGTTATGGGAAATTCAAAAACAACTTTGTTCCCAGGCTCCTTTCCAGTAGAAACGTCTCGCTTTATATTAATTGTTCCCTTCTGGGGTTTGTTTTGACGCAAATTGTTTGGGAAGTATGTCGATCAAGTGACGTCCATGGCAACTTTTGCACCGAGATGCCATACGTCAGAATCCCATTAGCCTTTCTTATCCACTCCTTTCACTTCCCCGCAATCCCTCTGACACCAGCAGTATGTTGCTATTTCAAATTCGATTCAAATAAGTTGACCTATAATATATTAGGAGCATTTACATTATGTTCTACTTGATGAGCTAGCGTTTCCTTCATTGATATTGATTTCTGTTGTTTGTGATAGGGATGTATGAAGTTATCATTTAAAAGACAGAATTCTGAGAAGAGGACTATTGATCTCAGCGGTTCCTCACTGTTCGAAAGTAAGTACAAAATAGACCGACTGTAGTCAGTAAATATAATGCAATGCCCGAGAGGAGTTTCTTATCAAATGAGTTTTCTTATTTTCCTTTTATTATGCAAATGTGTCAAATTTCTATTTCTTCCTTGCAATCCAAGAGGCTTTCCACATACTTTCCTCTCGTGAATATGCACATGAAGGTCGTGATCTGTAAAGTTATGTTCTCGAAATATCTAGCTGAGGCAAATGTTTTAGTAGATGATATTATAAAAAATGAAGGAAGTGAAATGCTATACAGAGGAAGCGAAATATTCAATAAGAAGAGGAAGAGATAGTGAAATTTATTGCCGGTGTCACTAGGAAGTGCAATGACGTCATGTACATCTGTGATGGCTGAAACATGCTGAAAGCATTGCGACATTGCGACATTGTTTCTGTGGCCACCGAATTCTGCAACTAGCATTTTGAATTAGAATCTGATAATTTCCGTTTCGATTATACCGCGATAACAAATAGACGCTCAAAACTTCGAATCATAGATAATACTGCGGTCCGGTGCAGTTCTGATTAATGATTGGTATATTAGTAATGTGCAGCGAGAACTTTAATAGCAGTACTACTAGAACTACACGCCTGGAGACTACGACAAATTTCGTTTGCATACAATGGGCAATTGTTGAAAGACCATTTCTTTTCTTTTCTTTTTATACTTTTCAGTTATCGACGAAGAAGTCAGCATCCAGCAGATTGCAGAGAGCATCCGTAAACACGCGCAGAAAAGAAAAGTCAAGCTATAGAAGTGTCTGAGGTTTCAATTTCTACTCCCACTGGGTTTTTTGGCTCGAAGGAGGCACTCACTCGGACCGGCATCGGGCTGAAACCTATAGAGATTTTCTCGAAATTTCTCGAGCCCAAACTCGTTTTGACTTCTACCAAGAATGCAATGCAATTTTCATTATCACGTGGCCACAGAGAGCGCCCCGTTGATCTGTTGATCAAAAAGTGTGTGGTCATGGGATATAGAAAATCGCATTGCATTTTTGGAAGAGGGTAACACGAGGTTGGGCTCTGGAGCTCTGCATGAAGGCGAGTTGGAGTTCATTTCTATAGTGTTTTTATTACTGGGGCAGGTTTGACGAAGGGTGCGGAAAGGCACTATCCACCGAAAAAATCCTAATCCAGCTGTAGCAGGGTTGATAACCGACTCCAGAAAATTAAAAAAAAAATCATTTTGCGGATAATTTTATAGGCATTCGATATTGAGCACTTAAACCATTACCACCATTGCAAAGAACGGGCTAAAATTAATAGAGTTTGAGAAAAATCCCATAAAAAGTGGTTGTAACCACTCAACTTCACAATCACTGATTTCTTTGTTAAGCTCATGGACAACTATCTTTTCGAACTTTCAACTCAATATACCCCCAAAGTTTGTAAATTTGATAACTCTAGGCAATCTTTTCAGTCGTAGTAATGCTTTTCACTAACTGGTCAATTTCAAATGACTGAAATATCCGAAAAAAAGGTATTATTTTAGATTGTCTGCATGTTCTCAGATCAAAAATGTCATAGCTCTAGTATTTCTAAACATCAACATTTAAAATTCACGAGAACTAGTGTTAGTAATGTATGGTATTAGCCTGAAGTGGAACTATAATATTCTTGCCTTTTCTTTTGAAAAAAAATACTGCTTGATATAGGGTAGCCTGCGAAAAGTAGACTATAATGCTAGAGCGGATTTCGTATGAGTGGGAAACAGTACGGTCGGTACTGTACTGTGACCGTAATCGTACTGTAACCAAATTCTAGTGCCCCATTGGTTTACCAATATTGTGCAGGCCTGGTCCGGTAACTGTGCGGTAACCGTGCGTTAACGGTGTACCATGCTCATGCGAGATCCGCTCTATAAAGCCTTGTGATCTTTTGTTTTTGATTGAGGTAGTTGTTTTTTAATGGTTTTCAAATATTATTTGTGCTATTGAATTATTGAAAATTGATATGAATAGTAGGCAAGACAGGAAGTTGAGCAGAGAGCATTTTGAGGAATCAAACAGGAAGTCAGACAGGAAGCAAAATTGTAGATCAGTTTGAGATTTGTTTCAGTGGAAATAGTTTGATTCATTTAAAAGCTTCACTTTAGATTGATTTATTTTACATATTTAAGTTTGAGAATATAGCTCAAAGAATTGAAAAAATAAAACAAAATAAAAACTGAAATAAAAACTCTAACATAATACTTTCATTTTATATGACAGGAATGGAAAAAAATCACGTTGCTTTGAAAAGAAAGTAAGAGAAGCAAATCTTCGATCTTTATGCCCTTTTCACGTTTCCTTTTGAATCGACTTGGATATTTTTACGTTGACTCATTGTTTGCCTATGATTAATGCTGGAAATCAAAGATGGATTAAATGGGTATTAGTGCAGAGGCAATAAATAGCTATATGTAGATTTTATGACAGCTGTTTCGGTCACCTTATGACGTCAATGTTTGGGTCTATGACGTAACGAGCCAGTTGCCAAAGCTGTAGCCCAAGTTGCCAGCCGTCAGTTCGAAGGGTGCAAAATAGCTCAGAGGAACGTGGCTGATTTAATAGTCGTTATTATTTCTTTATAGAGAGGTTTATTGCCATCTTTAATGCAACTAAAGCATGTTGTTAAGTAGTTTTGGGTCTGCCAAGGCTCCTCCAACCAAACCGGATAGTGTTGTCGTTTGCGAGACTCTCATGGGCGAACTTGAAGGTCAAATGAAAGAACTCGAAAGACTACGGACAGTTAAAGAGAGCGAGGAAAAAAGAAGAAAAAATGAGGCTGATTACAGCTGGTTAATGAACACTCCTCGAAAAAACGTTTATCGTTTGAGTCCTGTAGACAGGTTGGTACTGGAAGAATTGTCATCGCAAGTTCGTCCCGAGGACAGTGGCCATGTTATAAAACAATTCAGAACAATTGTTGAAACACATATGCTCGATTTGAGCGAAATTCCAAAGGTATTTCGGTGTGTGATAGAGCGATATCTTTCAGAATCGACCGGTACGGCAAAGGACGATACGGGGCTTAAATGGGTAACTCGTAGCCTTTCTGACTTTGGAACAACATTAAGAACAATACGGAGTCATTCGTCAAGCAAAGTGTATCCAGTTGCAAGTACTAGTGCTGAAGATTGCGATAACAGGCGGACTCAGAGTATGCCGGAGTTTATCTCAATGAGAAATTTACCGGTGTAATAACTTTACAAGCTGAAACTTTATTCCAGCACTCTTGAAGATTTTGTTGTCAACAAATATTGTCCCAAGAACAACAGCTCAAAAATTTAATAGAAAAGGTATTTAAATTGCTTTGCTTTGAGAAATAGATATATATGTTCTTAAGTGTAAATATTGTTAGTGGTTCTAATTTATATTTGCAATGTTATAATGAGTTTGAAAATATAGGATCCAAAATATAATATATATAGTACAGAATGTTTTAAAAGTTGTAATGTTTATATATTTAATCATTTATTATTAACAGTTATTTTGTTTTGCTGTCATTCATGTAGTATAGTATGGACATTATGAATAAGATATTTGTATATCATTGGAAAAGCTGAGATTCTTATTTTTTATCATTATGTTGCAATTAGCCTGGCCTTTTTAAAAAAACAATTCATGCTCACAGGAAGTGTATATGGCATTTACTTTGTGTGCAAAATTGTTGAAGTTGTCATTCTTTTTTAAAGTACATATCCGGTAGTTCAAGCAGTTCAAGTAATGTGGGTGGTGGTAGGGTTATTAAGGATATGAGGTGAAAAAGTAGTTGCAATCTCTTAATTACACATGGGTGACTGATGCCTAACCAATCTTCATCTTTTTCCCTCAAACAAAAATAGCAAGCATACTGGCTTATTTTTTACTCTATATTTTGTAATAGTCTTTCATGTAGTACCCTGGTCCCAGAGAAAAATACAAAAATACGATAAAAAACATCTATGAAAGAAGAGAAAAGAAAACCTCTGGGACCAGGGTATGCATGTAGTACCTTTAATTACTAATTTATATTATTCAAAACCAATACAATTTGCATTGAAAGTCATAATAAATATAGTTACTAATTATGGTCATAATCAGCTAGTACTACTGTGTTACTGTATGTATTCAAATATGGGTATCTTGATTCCTTCTTTGCAGCTGTTCTTTAGGAAAAAAACAACAACAGCAAAACAATAACAACAAACAAACACACAAACAAACAAAAAAAAGAACAGGCAGCAAAGGAGACTAGCACTCAAATGGATGCTTTCATTGTAGATACATTTCTTCTAAGTTTTTTGTACATCCAAGCCAAAATATTAGCAGTGCCTTTGAAAGTACAGAGGGATACCTGTGTGCTTTTTCAGTGAAATTTGATTGGTATAATGTGATCATTTTTAATGATTTTTGTAATATTGCTAATTTTGTAGATCTTGATACCTGAGACCTCTCTTTTCTATCTAGTTTAATAAAGTTATATCATGCATAATTATATTACGTTAAGAAATGATGTAGAGTTTTGTGTCCTTTTAATTTTAAATGCTCAATCAATATTTTTTTTTTCTGTAACATTACAAATATCTTCTAATTAATATTATGGTAACATGGAGCGTCATTGGATTATATTCAATTAAATATTTAAAGAATTGACCAGACGATATTTTTATTTGAATAAAATAATCGGATTCAATGTAACACATGCTATATTTCTACCACATTACCAAATTAATATTTTCCAGTTAGATTGGTTTTGAATGGTTGCTTTACTTTTGCATCCACATTGGTGGGTGACTGGTGTGCACCCTCCTCTTCCCCATAGACTGATTGTGAAATGCACCTCTTCACCAGAGAACTCAAACACCTATTCCACTGAAGAAAATCCTGAATCTGCCTCTGAACGATTCGTAATCAAACACTGTAACTTCTGTACACACTCTTTGTCCTTTTCTTTGGTTTACCTGTGTCGGAGTACTTTCAGCAGGACTGTACACTAGAACTCAGTCTTCTTCCGTAAAATGTCAAATAAAATCAAAATAGAAAACGTTTAGTTGTGTAAATTATTTTGGAATTTTTTCTTTTACTGTAAAATGGGAGGAAGCTCTGGTAAGACAAATCCTCAGGTTAAAACCTTCGTCGATGAAAAAATTTCTTCAAACAAAATTGTAGTTTTTTCAAAGTCTTATTGCCCTTATTGTAAAATGGCCAAGTCGTCTCTGTCAGAGGTTGGATTGAATGATTTCCTTGTAATCGAACTGGATCAGCATCAAAGCAGTGATTATTCGTCTGAGGATATACAGGAATATTTGAAAACATTATCAAAGATTGCTACAGTAAGTAAATCAAACATGACAAATATAATAAGCTTAAGAGTCAAGTTAGTTAACTAAAAGCTATGTACACAGCTACAATCAAGCGTACCATGTAATCTGATGTCCTTTTTTAATCACTCATGCGCAAACAGTGGATATTAGAAAGGATCATCGACACTGTTTGTAGTAGTTTAGATCGACTCGGCATTGACCCTCATAACTTTAAATTTGAGTGAAATTAATTTTAGTTTTTTGTCGTGATTCATTCAGGTACAGGCAGCCCATCCGCGGCAATTATTTGTAAATGTCTGAAAAGCAAAATGCATGAATGGTCACACTTATGTTTACATAAATCTCTGATATCTAAAAAGTCAGAAACAAGGAAAAGTTGAATAGTTTGAGTACAGTAAAATACAGTATTTGCAACGAGTGGCGTGCCTGTGGTTGACATTGACTGGTTTCCAGTTTCCTTCTTTCACGGTCATCGCTAGGCGCTCCTTGTGTAATCAACTTGTAATCGAAATTCAACACTATGGGCAACAAAGAAAGAGCCAGAGCTTTTGTAGACGAAAAGATAGTTTCAGATAAAGTAGTCGTCTTTTCGAAAAGTTACTGTCCATTTTGTACAATGGCAAAAAAAGCATTAAACGAGACTGGCGTTAAATTCACCTTGATCGAGATCGAGGACATGGAAGATTGTGATGCTATTCAGGACTATTTGAAATCTATCTCAAAAATTAGATCTGTAAGTTTTTAATATGTCATGATTGATTGTATTAATTTAGTTTTTTTTTTGATAAAATTTTTCTCGATTATTTTGAGAACTCGCTGAAGGCGAGATGTGCACGTGACCGAATGACTTCATTACATAACCTTTTCCGCATTGTTTTCATATACAGCCTTTTGCACAAATTATGAGACATTTTTATATATATAAATATACCTAACCAAATATCAAAAACACCCAAGAAATTATGGGATACCGTCGCTGATATTTTGTCTGTAACAACCTGATGCTAGGCAATCATGACAAAATATAATAGAGATATACCATAATTTCTGGGGTGTTTTTGATATTTGGTTAGGTATATTTATATATATAAAAATGTCTCATAATTTGTGCAAAAGGCTGTATATGAAAACAA